GGCCTCTTTCCAGTATAAATTTGTTTATGATTTTTCAAATTACATGCTGTGTGAAACTCTTACCACATGTTTCACAATGTTATGGCTTCTTTTCAGTATTAATTTGGTTATGGTTTTTTAAATTACTCGCTTTGGCGAACACGTTGAATGTTTCACAATATTACAACTTTTTCAGGATAAGTTTATTCATGCCTTTTCAAATTAGTGAACAATATTATGACCTCTTTTCAGTGTAAATTTATTAACGCTTTTCCAAATTACACGCTATGGGAACTCTTCCCACGTGTTTCACAATATATCGGCTTCTCCAAGGTGAGTCATGCCTTTTCAAATTATACTCTAGTCCAGGGGTCGGCAACCCCTGGCACGTGGCACGCGAGAGAATTTCTCATGGCACGCGAAGCGATTTGAGCCAGATTTGCGATATCACACATTTTTATGTCCGCTGATTGCCATGGCATTTCAGAGTAGAGATGCCTTTATTTTGTCGACGCAGCCGCAGGTTAAATTGAAGACAAGTAAATTAGTAAACCAATATGCCCATATCGGTCATGGATTGATTACTCTGCACAACAGAAAAATCATTATTATCCGTCGAAAAAGTCGCTCGGCAGGGATTTTGAGGCAATGAATATGTATTTTTGATTAACTGATATACTTTATATGTATTTAATTGTACTAAAATGAAATTAATTAAAGATCTTGAGATTATTCTATCGACTATAACAATTCGCAAGATCGCAGAAAATTATCGAAACTAAATAAGATTAGACATGTTTATCTCATACTTTTACATTAACAGATTGAGTGGTATATTAGAGTAGTGGTTTAGTAGTAGTAGTTTATATTTTGACGCAAGAAGACGAAACCGCGAGTTACATTGGACACAATTATATGAATATAGAAGAAAATTTAAGATTATCGTAGTTGTCATGGATTGAATATTTTACGGAACAGAAAAGTCGGTATACGCCAAACACTCGGCCTTTTTAACGAGCGCGTAATCGCGGTGACTGTTTCATAAGGAAATGAAAATTTTCGATTTTAAACCCCCCCCCCGCCTTCTAAAAGTCTTGGCTACGCGCCTGGCTTACTGGGTATTTCACGAAAGCCAAAATTTTCACCATTTCACCGTGAGCTACATGTAGCCCTGACGAAATAAAGGCGTTCCCGTAGTATGTGCACAAAGATGGCGGACACCGGAACTTAGTATGTATACGAAGTTGTGGCATAATTTTATTCCAATTTTTCTTATTTTAGTTCTATTACGAGTTCGGGGATTAGCCAAATGAATCCCAAATTAATTGTATCTGAAATTATAAAAATAATCGTGAGTGGCCCGTCGTGCAAAGACAGGTCGAATGTAGAAACACGTATGCCGAAATCTCTCGTGAGCTAATTTCCATGTACGTTATCAAATTAAAAAACAAAAAAAGGTTTCTCGTCCGCTCACTATTCAAATTGAGGTAGTTGGCTATGCAAATGAAACACATAAAAATGTTTGGCACGCGAAGGTGCTCATTATTCATAAACTGGCACGCTGTCTTCAAAAGGTTGCCGACCCCTGCTCTAGTCTAAAGCAAAGCTCTTGCCACATCTTTTACAATATTAGGGCCTCTTTCCAGTATAACTTTGTTTATGCCGATTCGAACTAGATGCTCTCGAAAACTGTTCCATTTTTACTGTTCCATTTTCCAAAAATGTTTTCCATTTTACGGTCTCTGCACACTGTGCACAGTATGACTTTCTATCTCGAAGATTTTGCTTCATGTTTCACGATAATTCGTCATTTTTTGCCATTTTAAATTAAACTCTATAGCAAAGCTCCTGTCGCATGTTTCACAATATTAGGGCCTCTTTCAGAATAAGTTGATTTATGCCTATTCGATTCAGACGCTCTCAAAAAGCTTTTCCCAGATGTTTTTTTTAATAATATGGCGTCCGCAGTATGAGTTTCTGTATTTATTTACTCGTACTTAGTATCTCATAGCTCTTGCTTGTTGTTTCACTATACTACGGCCTCTGTTCCATATGAATTTGTACACGCTGTTGTGAATGTCTTCCGACGTCTTCCACAAAAATTCAGCCGCTACCTAGAATACGCTTTCAAATACTTGCTATCCCAAGACTCTTGCTTGATGTTTTACTATATTAGGGTCTCTGTTCCGTATGAATTTGTGTATGCTTGTTTTTGAATTATACGCTGTTGCCAATCTTTTCCCATATGTTTTAGCATAATACTAGTACTTTTCAGTTTCACTTTGTATCTTTTTCTTAATGTTACATGATGTCATGAAACTTTTTCCACATATTTACCAACAATAAAGTCTCTATTCAGTATGAGTTAGCAGGCTATCAAGAATCTGTTCCCCCATGTTTCACAAGAATATGGTCTCTTCCGATTATGACTTTGTTTATTCTTTTTTCAAATTATACGCTGTTGCAAAGCCCTTCCTACATGTTTCACACTACCACAGCCTCTTTCCAATTATAAGTTAGATCATGCTTATTTGAATTAGACGCTTTCGAAAAGCTGTTCCCAGATGTTTCTTGCTAACATGGCTTCCGCAGTATGAGTTTGTGTATTTGTATTTTCGTACTTGGTATTACCAAACTCTTGCTTGATGTTTCACAATACTACGGCCTCTGTTCTGCATGAATTTGTGCATGCTTTTTTCAAATTAGACTCTGTTGTGAATGTCTCCCGACGTCTTTCACAAAAATACGACTAATCCCTAGTTTACGTTAGTATCTCATTCTTATTGTCTCACGCTGTTATGAAGCTTTTTCAACACGTTTGATTGACAAGAATATGACTTTTCCCAGTTCTATCTTTATATATGTTTCACAAAAAAACTAAATTGTTTGTGCACTAATTTGTTTATGCATTTTCAAATTACTCGTTATGGGAAACTCTCACCACATGTTTCACAATATTATGGCCTCTTTTCAGTATCAATTTGGTTATGTTTTTTTTTAAATTACTCGCTTTGGGGAACACGTGGAATGTTTCACAATATTACAACTTTTTCAGGATAAGTTTGTTCGTGCCTTTTTAAATTACACTCTTTAACAAAGATCTTGCTGCATGTTTTACAATAGTAGATTCTCCGGGATAAGTTTGTTCATGCCGTTTCAAATTATACTATATGGCAAAGCTTTTACCACATGTTTCGCAATACTGAGGCCTCTTTTCAGTATAAATTTGGTTATGGTTTTTTAAATTACTCGCTTTGGGGAACACATGGAATGTTTCACAATATTACAACTTTTTAGGGATAAGTTTGTTCGTGCCTTTTCAAATTATAATCTTTAGCAAAACTCTTGCCACATGTTTCACAATACTACAACTTTTTCAGAATAAGTTTGTCGTGCCTTTTCAAATTATACTCTTTAACAAAGCTCTTGCTGCATGTTTTACAATAATAGGCTTCTCCGGGATAAGTTTGTTCATGCCGTTTCAAATTGTACTATATGGCAAAGGTTTTACCACATGTTTCACAATATTAAGGCCTCTTTTCAGTATAAATTTGTTAATGCCTTTATCAAATTACACGTTATGGGAAACTCTTCCCACATGTTTCACAATATTATGACTTCTCCAGGATAAATGTAGTAATTGTTTTTTTAAATTAGTCGCTTTGAGGAACTTTTGCAGGATAAGTTTGTTCGTGCCTTTTCAAATTATACTTTATAACAAAGCTCTTGCCACATGTTTCAGGATATTATGGGTTGGTTGTGCTTTTTCCAATTACACGCTGTGGGAAACTCTTCCCACATGTTTCTTATGGCTTCTCAAGGATAAGTTTGTTCATGCTTTTTCAAATTACATTTTATAGCAAAGCTCTTTCTGCACGTTCCACAATATCATGGCTTCTTTCCATTATGGCTTTTACGATAATACACTCTCTCACCATTATGATTATGTGTTTGACTTTTTAATTTACATGTTATGGAAAAATTCATTCCACATGTTTCACAAAAATTTGGCTATTACCTACATGAATTCCTGTAACTTTTTTCAGACTGCACATTGTTGAAAATATTTTTCACATAGTTCACAAAGATTTGGATATTCCTTTTTATTCAATTCATGTGAGCGCTACCGCATGCTCTTCCCACATTGTTCACAAAATACCCTTTCCCTAGTATGAGGTGTGTATTTCTTTTCAAATTACACGTTATCACGATGCTCTTGCCTCATGTTTCACTACAATTTGACCTCTCCTCTTTATGAGTTTGTATATGCAATATCACGAAGCTTTTCCCAACTGTTTCACTAAAATACAGCACCACCTCAGTATGAGTTTGTGTATTTCTGTTCAAATTACATTCCACATGTTTCGCTATTACGAATCTTTCTACATGTTTTACAAAAAAACTAAAATGTTTTTTTGTCCTTTCAAATTACTTCTCGCATGTTTTAAAGCATTACATGATTTTTCGTATGCCTGTTCAAGTTACACGCTATGGTGCTATACGACCCTCTCTCTGCATATGCCTTCTGGAATTACTCGCTTTCAAAAAGCTCATCTCCATATTTCACAATAATATGACGTCACTGCGTGCCCATTATAAATTCTCATTAACTTGACTTCATGGCATTTCTACATATTCAAAATACTTACTTATCCTTTGGGTTTTACTAACATACGGCCCAATAAAAATTTGATGAGCTTTTTGAACTCATTTAAAAATTCGAATATAGATATTCGAATAGTTTACTGCTGTTATAATATTCAATAGTAATTATTGATTTTATTTTTGTATTGGTAAGCTCCAGAATGTATACGAAAAACGGTCAAGTTCCTTATTTTGTGGAGCATACAGCAAGACGGTCACAACATATGATTGCTCGGGGGATTCCTAAAGCTGCAAAACCGCATTCAGTTAACCAATCACAAACAAATTTATCTACTTTGTTCTTTAATATCTGATTCAAACACTCCCAAAGAGAAAAAACACAATAAAAAAAACTATTTGTACAAAATAACATAATTTCAAACAAACAAATTTTATTTAATGCTTCGCATATTGTTTTATCGTGTACTTACAAATACAAAAGTTGAATTTGTCAAACAGAAATGAAATAAAAATAACTGAACACAAATATAACATAGTTGATATAAATCTAAGCAGAAAACGCATACCAAGAAGACCAAAACTACACTGAAAAATCTTTGCTCAAAGCTAATTCAAACAGTTCCATTGGCGAGATAACATATCATAGTTTGCTCTTAGCAATATAAATAACACAATGTTGCCGGACAATGAACTGATAGGGCCGGTATAACTTTAACGCTACTATGTACAATGCAACAAATGAAGATATCTGAATTACGTTCTATAATACATTGGAAATAATCCTCCTATTCTTGTTAATAAGAGTAAAATCTGCTAAAGGCTTAGCTAAAATGCAAACAAATTCTTAAGCTACAATTTCACTCCACCACTGAAAATTTACGGAAGCTACATATTTTTTGGAAGTGTTCGCATACGTATAAGCATGTCTATATAGCCTTGTTTGTGTAAGGGATATAAGTAGAACATTAGAAATGCAGTTTATCTCAACGAAAAATTTCCAAATTAAATGAGAATTTATTGATGCAACATCAGAAGTATCAAAACAAAATGCGTTCTCGTAGCCAGGAGGAAGATCGAAATTGTAAATTAAATGAAAATAAGGCTTGTCAATGCTCAAGTCTTTAATCTTTTGGGAACATTAATAATTTAGAGCTAAAAACTCGCTGTCAGTTAGTCTTTCTGTATTCCATTATCTTGTAATTATAAATATAAAAGAATATTCCGAACAGTGATGAATTGAATATAGTAGTAGGATACCGCACTAGAAGAATTATCACAAGCTCAATACAACATATGTGCATTCAAGTTATGGTATTATAGTTTCGAATAAGTTAAAATAAAACTTTGTTAAAGTAATTTTGTGACAATCTAGGAAACTTTTAAATTATTGGTATTTGTTATTTGAACAATATTTTTTTGATGTAACTGTGGTGTGGTATTTGAACTCAACCCCATCAGCGATCAATGCTTTGAATCTTTCCACGTTACCGTGGAAAAAGCCGCAATCAAACATCCACAATGTTTGAACCCGACATTGATGAACAATTTCACTGATTGTAGATAATCCTTCATCTCCAAGTTTGCTGACTTCATTGCTACTGAGATCCCACAAATTGATCTGAAACAAATTATGAAATTTGTTACTCAGTCTCAGACATAATTCATAGTTTGCAAAATTGAAGGAGCAAGGAAAGATTGCGCTGGAACTTAATAGGTCCATATATAAATCAATCACACAAAATCCGTTCAAAAAGCGATTATTAGTCGTGGATTATAACTGATAGATCACATTCTCCGTATTCTATACATATAAATGGCTTGTTAGAGATTACAATGGACGAGCAAACTGAATACTGGTGTTAACTGCTGAACATCTAGTTATGCCAATTTATAAAGTCGTTTTGCGATGATTAAAGCCTATAGCTCTGACGGCAGACGACGCAAATTCTCTCGCGATTTTGCACGCAATTAATACGTTGTTACTGCATGTAATTAATACTTTGAAACTTCGTATGAAGGTCTAAAAATGGATGTAGTGCCACATAAAATACTACACCACCAAATGGGATTTTGTCGGTGGAACGCACCCAGAGTAAATAACACAAAAGTGGTGCGCGGTCAGTAAAAGGTTGAGAACCACTGCCCTAAAAATTACATATCAGCATAGTCACACTGGATCAAACACCATCAATGGCCCTATCTTGAACCATTACACTAACCTTTGAATAAACGTTTCATTTTAAAATATTTTTACCTTTGCATCCCGAACATTTTCCTTGAATGCTTTCATTGCTTCCGCTGTCAGATTGCATTCCTGCATTTCAACCTTCTCTACTTCACATTGTGACACAATATTACCTGTGATAGCCAATCCCTTAACACCAAGATTTTCATTTCCGCTGATATTTAGTTTCTTCAACTAAATGAATAATAATAACATTGACGATTATAACAGGCATGAGATATATTTGTACGCCATAGTAATAGAAAAACTCCCTGAATAATCATTGAGTTCAGTGAGCGCAATGGTTAACTGTATTCAAATCATATTTCTTGGGTTCGAACCCTTCACATGTCGCCTCATCTAGTGCTTGAGGAATTTTACATGTTATACAAAAACCGGACCAAGATGGCCAAGCGTGGATTTTAATATCAGTGCTACCCTTAGAAAAGACTTACTTAGTCGATAGTGCATTTTTTTTGTCCTAGTCCTGTGGAAGTGCGTCGTTTCAATTTTGCTAGAAACTCGCAAAATTTTGTGATGGTATTATATTAAATAAGTTTAATTCTGAAAATTCGTTTTTTTGTAGATAAAGATTACTTTTCCTTGGTTCAAAAAGCGTTGCGCACTCCTATCACCTTTGCGATTTCGCATTAATATGAAGCTGGCTTTTCTACCGATGCCCATTAAATGTGATTTCACTGAATTTGGTTAAGTTTTGTATGTTCGTTTATATGAAACTCATTACAATATCAATACGCACTCTTCACGGGAAGTTGCAACTTGAGAATATTTTGGGAGGGCGTCACAACACAATCAAGTTCGAGAACCACTGAGTCCTCGTCGATAGCAAGAAATATTTTCTACTTTTTAAATGGTTAATAATCTATGTTGCAGTTATTTTAAATGAAAACGTGCTATTAAATAAGTAAATGGAAATCGTCATTTACATTTCGTATATTAATAAATCTCATTATTCTCTGCATCCCCCCAAAATAAGACCTATTGCTATTTTCGAAAGAAAATTGAAGACGCTGTCTTATCTTCGGGGAAACACGGTATGAAGATGTATTCACTAGGAATGGTGCAATTTGTTTTACACTATTTTTAATAATTGTGTTTCGAATCAAGAGTCTGAAAAAGTACAATAGATATAGTACTTGGTTTAAAATTGATGTACTCCTTGTGGCCCCCAAAGTTAGTTTCGCGGCCCCTAGTTTGGGAAGCCCTGCTCTAGATCACCGGTTCTCAAGCAGTGGGGCCCTGCTGGGCCACAGGAACATTTTAAGGTGGGCCACAGACCTATCAAAAATTGCTAGAGTTGTTGATAAATTTGATTGTAGCAGCAACGGATGATGCCACATTTTGTTACAAGGTGATACTTTTCTCCTAATCATTATTAAAGAGAATGTGTCTATTTTTGCAACAGGAATTCTTTGATTTTTTTTGTAGATTTTACCTACAGAATGTTTGTGCAACAAAAATGGGCCCCGAAGGAAAAAAGGCTGAGAACCAGTGCTCCAGATCCAACACCATCAATTTTATATGGCCCCCAGCTAGAACTAATACACTAACCTTTGAATAAACGTTTCATTTTAAAATATTTGTACCTTTGCATCCCGAACATTTTCTTTGAATGCTTTCATAGCTTCCGCTGTCAGATTGCATTTCCGCATTTCAACCGTCTCTACTTCACATTGTGACACAATAATACTCGTGACAGCCAATCCCTCAGCGCCCAGATTTTTATTGACGCTGACATTGAGTTCCTTGAACTGAATGAATAATAACATTGACAATTATAAAAGACATGGGATATACCCATGTGCCATACTTAGGCCATAGCGGTTGGGAAATAACCTGAACGGAAATAACCTTATTAATACCTCAATGCAGTTTGATTTTTGTCACTCAACATAAATTACATTTTAGCATAGTCAAGCTAGATCCAATACCATCAGTTATATATGGTTCTAGCTTGATCCATTACACTAATCTCGAATAACCAATGTTTCATTTTAAAGTATTTTCACCTTTGTATCCCGAACATTTTCCTTGAATGCTTTCAATGCTTCCGCTGTCAGATTGCATGCCTGCATTCCAACTTTATCTACTTTACATTGTGATACAACAATACCTGTAACTGACATTCCGTCAACCCCAAGACTACCATTGACGCTGACATCGAGTTCCTTCAACTGAATGAATAATAACTGTTAAGCAAGGTATTACTATATTTAGGAAGAATTGAAATCTTTCTGGTCCGGTATTGCTTACTAAGTTATTACACCAGGGTGAGACGAGAGGCTTACGACATTGAACATGGGATTTGAATGAAACTTTTGTTAACCGGGTTGACGACATAGTTCAGTTGCACACTTCAACTACTAGGCCAGGGTAATCTTTTTTACAGTATGGCCACATACAAGTAACTAGCTGAAGACGCGGGCCGCACTTGAAAACTCTACCTACGAAAGGCCCTGGACACGAAAAATTCAATTTATTGAAGTCTTTACGTAAAATTTTCTACATACGAAAGGCTAAAAACTTAAAAAACGCATGTAGTAATATTTTTTATATTTTAGGTTAATATTGCGACCTTCGAATATCGTTTTTCTCGTTATTCTCGTTTTCTCATAAGAATACCAAATATGGCGCACATATCCTAGCACCCCTGTCCACGTTTTGATGTAATAAATTATCTGCCATTCCATTGACCTGTTTATTTCCCACGGGTACGTACAATGTGTTGCTAGCAAAATTCAGTGAGAAGATGATAATACGTGTACCACTTCAAACAAAAGCAAATGAAATTAATTATGATTGATACAAATATTATGTCTGAGTTTATTGGGGATTAGAAGGACCTTTACAGGTATGCGTCGCAAGGGAGCAAATGCTTCTCTTCTTACAGAATTTTCTACCTGGGAAGGGCTTCCGGAAGGAATTAATTTCGTAGGTCGCGAGCACAAAAAAATTCTCTTTTTTGGTATTGATCTTAGGGCATTGATAGACATCAATTAAAATTGGCACCTCTCTGCGGGCCGCACAATTTTTCTTTGCAGACCGCAGTTTGCACACCCCTGCACTAGGCTATCACATCAACCCAAAATATGATTGTTTTGAAATTTTAGCAAATCTTGAAAGCGAATTAAGCAACATGACATTGCAGATTTCTGGCTCAAACCCCATGTCTGCTATTTTACTCTAATTTTTTTAATTTAACTTAATTTCCTTGATAACCTTTACGATGCAAATAGTGGATTGCGACCTAATTGATATACATATTATAAACAAACCCAACTCTTTTACTTCAACTCAAATCGATTCAACTTATTATTACCAAGTTATTCACTTACTTTACTATTCCCAACATGTTTCAAGAAATTACGAAGATGAATCCCTTTCAAGTTAGTAGAGCTCAAATTCAGACGTTCAGCATTATACTTGGAACAAACGAATCCAGTTACAATGCCAAGTTGTTCTGACATCTTAATATTGTCTAGATCTATCTTGTTGATAAACATCTGAATAAAGATAGATCAAGTTTATTCGGCCTTTACTGTGATAGCCTGAGTGAAATCAGGTTGAAATTGGATAAAAGTTCAAAAAGGTTGAATCAGAAACAGAGTGTATTTGATAAGTGATTTGACAGAGCAGACAGGTAAAATGGGTTAAGGTTACGTTATGCTTGCAAAATTCAAACAAAATAAACAATAATGTTTCAAATATTCTAATGTATAGAGCAGGGGTGGGCACAATTTTTTAGTATAAGAGCCGCATGCTGCAAGTCAGAATTTTAAAAGAGCCGCAGAATTTGTGAATTTATCAATATTATCGAAATACCATGAACAGAAAACAAAATTCACACAAGAGTCTAATAACAATAAATAGATAAACAAAACAAGGCAGCTATACTCAAATATATGCACAGTTTAAGCTCATTTAATTTGTGCTCCTTATAGCTGATTTACGAGGGTAGTCTCATAAGAGGTTTTCATGATTCGTTTCATGGTGCCGTTTAACATTGCTGACTTTATTCTGACTTAGTAGCTTATGACAGATTAAGCACAAAGGTTTATTCTTCTGACTGGTAAATGCGTATTCTTCTTCCCATTCTGACTTGACAACTCTGTTTTCATCTTCGTACTTTTGTGCGCGGTGTGCCCACCCCTGGTATAGAGCATTTACGCAACTCCAGCAAATATACAGATTCGAGAGCGAGTGGCTGTATACTGAGTATGTTTACGGTGCAGGTTAAAAATATCTCAGGTTCAAACCCCATGCTATTCACCTCATTCATGTGAGATAAATTGCGTGGCCAATGATGGATCGGAAACTGATTCCTTATCATATTTTTTACTTTATTTGGAGCATAAATGCTGGCAACACCTTAGACTCAAGACTGTACCTACATCCTGTTGTTTTTCACTAGCGTTTTAAATATATTGACAATATATATTGTAAGGTTTGTAGATCGAATATGTAAATGTTTTAAAACGTTCATCTTTACTTTAACCACCAGGCTAACACTAAGATATAAAACATCATAAAAATCAGTTGTTAGTTACATCAATATGTCAATTGATAGAGAAAAAGCATTTGTGATATAGCAAGCCGTACAACCATAACAACAAGTTAAAGATTAACATGTCATTTTTTTTTTCTAAGTTGGGCAAACGTTATTGATTTTATTTTTTCATGTTCAAGAAAGAACTGACAGCGGAATTGCTATTAAACAAACTATTTAGTAACTTCACTCACTTTCTTAGAAATGACGCTTCTACTGATGATAACAAATTCATCAAATCCTTTGCACTTCTCCAACACCATTTCATCAACGTAAGATTCCGTGAATTTTGTAACAGAAGCAAATAATTCAGCATTGAATTTGTTCTTCAAGACGAACTTCTTGACCTATGTATACATAACGGCAATATTCAATTCATTGCTACTGAACAAAAATTTTAAAATGACTCCTCGCTACGGGTTGGAACAATCAATTCTAATTTTAATATTTTTCATCTTAAAACGTTTCAAAATTTAAATTGAATCCCCATACTCCCGAGGCGTTCATCATTTGTAGACAACATATTGGCATAAGTCAAATTAAAAAATCTTTCAAGTGAATATTTTATTGTTCGTCATCCTTTGGTAAGTTGTCGTTACTTGAGATATTAAAGAATGCAGTATTAATTGATGAGGTGTCCAAATAAAATTATCTACGAAAATAAAATAAAGGCTGTTCAATTAGAACAAACAAGTGGTGACGTTATCATTGCAAAGATTAAAATAAATGAACCTTGAGCGAGGAATCCTTCAGATTCGACATCATGATATCAAATAGCTCTGTGGTGAGATTGCATTTGGAGAAACGCAGAAGATTTAGATTTCCACTTCGACGCATAACTGACGATATTGCCAGCATTCCACTGGGGTTGATTGTTGCTTTCTCGAAATCGATATTATGAACGTGGGATCGAATCAATTCAGCGTCATTCGACTCGTACAAAGCTCCGAACAATTCCATCAAAGCAGTTGAGTCGTTTGTTTCCTTCAATTGTTCATTCAAGCTACGTCTCAGTATTTCTTCTTTTCCTCTCTTATCTTTAACTATAAAACAGGCATTGAGAATATCCTTCCACCCCTTCACTGACACAATGCAACCATAAGTTTTGAAGTGAGATTTATTGAAAAAAAAAATTAATATTTCAGTGACAATGCACTATCAAAAACTCAATGTAATAATACATCAAACCGAATATAAATATGTAAAACTTGTAAATGATCAAGAGTTTTTAAAAAAATAGTAATGAGTCTGTAGCTATTTTTATATGCATATTTTGTTCATACAAATCTGGAGTTGGTCTCGTTCGAAACCACTAGACTTAATGCAGTCGTTACAAAGCGAATCGACATTTATGCTACTAGAACAGTACTATCTCTCAGGTTCAGCATTTTGTTATTCAATTACAAACGCATTGCAGAACTTTTTTATAGCCAACCAATGTTAATCTGTTTTCCAACAATCAACACAAAAAAATACCATAAGTCAAACTTTTGAAGTTTGCGCCGCTTGTTTGAGGGTGAATATTAAGGATGTGAGAGAACAAGTGCTGAGAACAAATTTGGAGTATATTAATCACATTTTGAAGTCATTTTTAAAAAGTGCAATTACGTGATGCGAGTGCCAATACTTGACATGCAAGGGCGGGAGACGGAGGCTAGAAACTTAAAAAGCCTTTAATAGGGAACTTAGTTTTATAAGCGACCAAATCCAGCTTTGTACTAATGGTTAAATGCAACAATATCTTACTTTGAAGCATATTCGGAGGCCAATCTATTGCCAAAGCTGGGTTGAGAAGAATTCCGCACAAGAACTTGCGAACAACCGACCAATGATCTTGATGAATGGACTTTTTCACGAAGTCTTCAAAATCTTCAACTCCCATTTCTGACACGAACATGGCGGCAAGGTTTTCTTCAATTACTTGGTGCGAGAAATATATTTGTTGGGTTCCTTCAAGAAGGCACTGACTCGCCCTTGTGGGGCCTGGAACTTCAATAATCAGGTCTTTAATCGAATCTGGATCTAATCCAAACTTCAGTAATTCATCTTTTGTAAAGACGACTCGTCCTTCCCTCATTGCTTGAAAAGCCATTTTTTTCAACTTATGCAGAACCTGCTTATCTATGACATGCTTAGATTGCAGAAGAATATCAAGGATCTCCAACATAACTCCTGTTATGGTATCTGGTGGATTTTCCGGGTTGAAATGCTGAACGATGGCGTTGTATATTAAAAATACTGGGATCGAGGACAGTTGGATAATCGCAGGAGAGGTTGAACACATCCGATCCCATTGCTGTTGGCCGATTTCACCCAGGAGTGCGATGAATAATCTTTTGACGTCATCTGGGCTCAAACCTACTAAAGCGTAGATTAGCTGGGGGCGAAGTTCACCCGTGAGAGGAGCTATGCAATGCTCGCGAGAGGAGATTACTTTTTGAACTCTGGGAAAAAGATGACCAGTGAAAACGTTACACATCACCGTTGCTGTACTGGCCTTATCCTTGTGATTTATCTTGCGATGAGTTCCGCCAAGAGACCAAGTCGCCTGATCCAAACCATCAAAGAAAAAAACCACTTTTTCTTGGTTTTCAATGATCCATTCATATCCATATTTTTGGCTTTCCTCACTTGAATCCGTGATGATTTTTCCAAACAGTAAATCTTTCGCATTAATTGACTTCGAATCAAGCAGGTCTCGAATGTAGACGAAGTAGATGATTTCGTAACGCCTTTCTGTTTGATCGAGGGAAGAGTGGTCGCCCCATAGATTATTATTTTCTGCAACGTCACGAACCATCCGTTCTACAAAGGTCGTTTTACCACCTCCTGCCTGACCAACAATAGCTATGTGCCAATTTTTATTTGAGTTGAAGCTTTGCAATATTTGTTTCAAATCCACCAAGTTTCCTTCACTGCCAAACTCTTTTGAAACACTGAATCCAACTTCCTTTTGATACTCTTTTATCTTCGGTGCCATCTCACCACTGAAGAAATGAGATAGTTTTCGAACGCGAGGGTTTGCTTCGAACTCTGGTTCGACCAGCCTTTGGTCTTTGTACAAGTCGGTAACAGAACCCTTTGCTTTGCGGCATGCATAACGATTAACATCTCTCTTAAATGCTGCCACATACTTCTCTGCAAATTTGAAAAAATTAGTTTTCACTATTTAATCCTGCACTAAAGTTTCTACATATTTTTCCCAAGCTTTCTGTTTTACTATTTCAGAAAAATCTTCATAGTAGCTCGCGATCGGATGATCGTAATAAAGTCATACAGAAAAACAAATGAGTACTGAATATGCAGATAATTACACACACCCATACAAAAAAATTAATCGCTGCTTATATTTTTCATGCTCCAAATAATTTGGTATTTGGATTTTGTAATTGTAGTAGAGTAAATTTTCATCATTTATTTAAAAATTATTCGTATCTAAGGCCAGCCTAATTTTTAGTCATGAGTATTTATAAGCCAAGGCAATCCATAACTGTTATATGACTGCTCAAACTTCAGTATCTAATTCAAATCCCGATAGATGTACTAGATCCAAGAATAAATGCATAAATATTTCTTATTTCAAGTGTTTCATTGAGCCAATTTGTCTGTCGATCGATTTCATAACGAATAACGACTTTTGTCACTGGGCAGCAGCATTATTCTTGTGCTTAACATAGATCAACTTTGGCCAATAAGCTTATAAGTTAAGAATGTGATAATATATGGTTGAACATATCTATTTGAGGCTGCTAAGATCTGGGTCTCTGGTAGCAACCATTACAGGCAGTCAGACTACCGCTATACAGTCATTATACCGTTAAATAATGATAAACATATTCTACTGTCAATTGCCTTCTCGTATATTTTTCATGTTGCTTCATAAAGTGACTCAACATTACAATTTCATAAATCTACCTTCTTTTTTTTTTATGTTTTCTTCAATGTGGCATCTTCACATATAATTAAGGAATCACATTATATTTAATCCTACTTTCAATTTTTGAATACTGTTGTCCATGCCCATTCTGATTTTACAATTGCAGCGTGTTAGACTGATTTAAGTATGGTACCGGTACCGGTACAATTTTCTTCCCACCATAAAGATACTGTATACGGTACCGGTACCGTAGTTCTTTACTAGTATTGCTTTATGCACACTTCACAACTGGAAGGCCGTGTGCTTATGAAAACTCATTTCGCTGTAACCCTGTGCCATTTAAAATAGAAAGTACAATGTTCTATATATTGTACTATAGGTGCCTCACAATGGTACCATTGTGACTTTGCCTAAGGACGCTATTGCCATAGTTACCCAAAATCTTAGTGCACGGAGTCATGTTTTTTGTAGTTGTAAAAACGCGCGAATCCTGGGAACACCAGGTTTGCTTTGACTATTTATTGTTTCTTCAAATATCTTGGTCATAGTCATATATATAATATCTTTGTTATTATTATTTGTTAGACTATTTTAAAGGGGCCGCTGCTCGATAACCTATATTGGTTTTTCCCTTCGCCCTGAAACGCATTTATCATATTTATTGTAATTTTTTGTAAATCCAGTGTGTTTTGAGTATGGTGAAAAATAAATTACTGATTACTTAGTCGTATTAGTCAACAAAGCTTTGCTGTGCTTACACTCATCGAGATATATCCTGTTCATACCAAAGCCCATATATGTACCGATCCATACGAAATATATTACAATGGTTTTCTCCCTATTTTGGTAAATTTTTCACCATTGTGTACCTTGGGTTAAGTTTAAAAAATAACTATTTTTTCCCTGTATTTGCTGCTTAAACTTAGCAATAAGGTGTCGCTGACTGGATGACTCACCGAGTCTTTCGCGACTCCTCAGCCATAGACCTTAGTCATTAAAAACCCATCCTACGCGCAAAAAGAAAAGTGATGTAAACAAAACAATTTTAACATTAGCTCTTATGGGGAATGTGATCACCAGAGCAGAAATTTGCATTTTTTGTAATTTTCTAGATATCAGTGTGCAGTCTTGAAAATAGAATATTTTTTTTTATCATTCATTACTTAGTAGTCACTCGTAGTTCAGAACAGAGAAGGTAATAAATACTGGTCTATGCAGTCAGTCCCACATGACCAACTTTTTGCTAAAAAAATGTAAAACCAGAAGAAGCAAAAACCGTGTATGTCGAACGAGCCCACACAACACCCATTCAACATTGCTGTGCTATATCGTCTTTAATTCGTCGATTCAACATGCACTGAAGATAACTCCAAGCAGTTCAGAATTCAGTCATCTAAATCCTACCCGGAAATGCAAAGTATTATCGCACGTCCTTACAGCTTCATAGAATCGCTATTCGCAAACAGAAGGTGTTGTCAGACCCCGAACATATCAAGAATTCTACACAATAGTAGAATATGCGATTGTTCGTATTAGTAAATAAGCCGGCCATGGGTACAGTGTCCTGGAGCATAATACATGAACTTTGTCTAGTTGGGCTATTTGCCTTCTCTGTAGTTCTTAGTTAGTTCTGACTCGCCAAACAGGGACTTATATTTGTAATTGATTCGTGTTTGGGTCTAACAATTATTTGGCATCTCACTGTTTAAAAATCTAGTGGTACTGCATTTGTTTATACCCGAGTGACACTAAATTGATTACCGACTTTTTCATACCTAACCCACTCTTCGGCGAGTGTTACTGTTTTTGATGTGATTTTGCAATCCCTGAGCGACTGTTACAAGTTTTCAAAGTCAATAATACATTTGAGCGTATCCAGTCAAGTAGACTGTTGTTTATGGGGATTTGGAGAACATAGGCTGTAGTATTCGTGCCTGAAGGTGCCGCCCCATCAAAGCATAATAAGAAAAATACCGCATCCAAACGTTATTCTTAGCACCAACATCTGTGGTACACAGTGATCCAAGCGACACTGTTTTAGAGTTGGCACAGCGGGAGTACCCATACATTTGCTATTTCCCTATTCAGCCGAAGACGATCCGCAATGCAGCTGCATCAATATTGCTTCAAACACGTAACAGTTCATTATCAGAGTAAAAAATAATAGAGGCCTAATAATAATAACTCATGGCTTGATACAAAAACTTTTTGAAAGAAGGCAAATAAAACTTCAGTGTCTGCTGCTGAGTATTCATGTCCAGGAGGTTCTAAGCATCTAAGTTGTAACCGCTGGTCGGTTACGGCTTTCCCACCATGAAGTCCATGCTTCCGAAAACAAATAACTAACTAATGCAATACCTGACTTGGACTGGTAACTGAATAAAATGCCGTGGTCATCTTATCAACTTTCTTCTCGCCCAAGATAAATATGTAAATCCTACCCTTTCCTAAAAATGGAGCATTTCGCTTTAAAACTTGGCTGGGATGTAGGTAGACTAACTTCAGCAGGCATATCCTACAAAGCTGAAATATGTTGATGCATCTGCTTTCTGTTGGCAAAAGATCCTAGATGACTATATGGCTTGAGATTGACTTGTGTAGATAATAATAGGAAATATGAATTGAATAACAAATAAACAATGCTCACCCTTTTTTGTCTTCTTCTTCATTGGTGAGACGCCCACAAGTGTCGGTATATTCCCTGAAGCCATCGGTTGCATGTTTGCTCCCACTCCCACTGTTAAAATAATGAATTTTGTGTTTTGACTTAAGTTAACGCTTTCAAAATGTATGAAACTCGATACAAGTTAACGGCGATAGATCGCCAATACATCAAACTTGATTTAGATAATTTGCTCTCTGAGGTGCTGAACTAGTGCGATTCATGATGCGACTGAATTTTAACAAAATGTGCTGAATTACGACCGCCAGTTACTTTTAAAAAAGGATGTAAATAGCAGTCCAAAAAACGTTATTTACCAAAAATACAGGCATAGATTGTCATGAAATGATATATGTAAAAAGTTGCCAACCAGGGGGGGCCGCGCCAATCGATTCAACAAATTTACCAAAGTGCTTTAGTCGCAAATCGCTGCGGAAACAAATGATTAATAGGTTACTATATGATAACTATTATCTTACAATAATTTACTCGATAATGTTATCTGGGCACCTTTGCAAGAATAAGGGCGACCCAACGAGTAATCTTCAAATGCATCGCCAATCCTCATAGCCCGCCCTTCCTACGTTACGCCCTATTATTATCATATGTTGCAAACGTACTTTCATGTTTCTCCATTCATTCAATTGTGTCATTGCCGAAAGAGGCAAACAAAATATATATTCCCACAGCAATAAACTATTATCTTTGAACAAACTGAATAGGTTTGAAGTTGTTATAAACACTTTTCACTGCTTGGCATATCTTTATATGTTATAAAAAAGCTTGAGTGTGATTTGATGGCAAAGAATATCGCTTTTGCTTTATTGTAGCGTTGTTTTTAACAAATAAAGTCGAAACCCGGTTTAGAATAGGATTTTCAGAGTAAACTATATTGCAGCGGTTTGGGCTGGCAAATGAAATATTTTTATCGACCCCAATAATTTCAATATTTTTATAGAATACTGAATATTTTGAATATACAACACAACGCTAGCCATCCTAATGTTTGTAATTTTTATTGCTGCGCGTTTATTCTTTGACAATTATTAATATTTATGCGACAGCGAATATCAAAGACAAAACTAATAAGAAGTGAATTCAGGACTCAATTTATTTTATTCTCATTTTTATATTTTGCGTCGTCCTTGTATTTATCATCACGAACAATATTATCTTCACTACCACCGGAATGCAAATTTTTATGAAGATGATAGTTGACTTATACTTTACTGTTCTAATGTGTCTGTGTTATTTTCGCAATGGATGAAAGATCTGCAGCAAGTCGTCATGTTATTTCGAGTTGAAATGCTAATTAAATAAATCGGCAATAACAGCAATTCTACTGGTAAAAATAATATTTCCCTGCTAAAATTTATCAAAAATTGTATGGAATGTCCCAATGTCTTGTTTGACATTTCTAATTTAACGAACAAAGTCGGCGCAGCATATGCAAAATTAGGATTTAGAAATTATGGGGAAATACAGTTTTCTTAAATCTGTCGTTTTTGTATGTAGGCGAGAGTGGGAAAATTCTCTGGAGTCCAAGGGTTCGCGTGACGCGTGATTTTCTTTCCAAAGCAAAGTGGCGTCGGTCCCGCATATTTGAAAAGTGAAATGGCATTCGAAAATTTTAAGAGAATGACAAAATCAATTGGGTATTGTGGCATTTGAATGCATCAACACAGCACCGTATTTCTTGGGCATTATGGAAAGTGTCCACCCTTGCTTTGCATTGCAAAATATATAGAAGAGTCCAATATAATATCGATTTTTATGACAATACAATGCCATGACAGCTATCTTGTGCGAAGCGAACAACTTAAGATCAATAATTAAAATTTTTGTGCCTGCAACTACGAAAAATCCTACGTTAAATAGCAGTGCAGCCCGAGGTTTCACCCAGTTGCTTTTATTTGGGCCTCTTGTTGCATACCCCTGGCATAGATAATAAATGGGACTCGGCTATAAAGACAAGAATTACTCACACCAGATTAAACTGAATTAAAAACTTGTTGCACCGCCGCACATCATTCTAGGTCTCTAGGATTTACATATTTATCAAGAGGAAAGCCGATAGATAACACGACTTAACCATAAGGCGGACCACGGCCTCTCGTCCGGTTACTATTCCATGTCGGGTGTGGGATTAATAAGTTCTTCGTTTTCGAAAGAATAGACTTGATGGTTGAAGAAATCGTAACAGACCAGCGGTTACGTGAATCATCCTACGGCAGTGAGGAGTCCAGCAATCCTCTCGCACATACTTATCCCTGTCTGGAATTCGAACCTGCGAGCCCACGCAGAGTAACCACGCAGAGTAATCAGAGGTGCGGTGGCGAGCTTATTCCTAGCACGATGAGCCACACCGCCGCTAGTGCACAATCTGAGCAGGAATTAGCCTGCGGGTGCAGGTTGCTCACTCCTGGCCTAAACATAATAAACAATTGGCTGAAATTGAAAAAGCAAAATGCATCCATGCTCTTCTCAATCACCTGAAATCTTTATTTCTTTTTGAACGGTGACTGCCTGCCCGGCATCATCTGCTGCTGCCATTGACGGAACTGGGGTCTGCTGTGCTTGACCAATCCATCCCGATGTTGATGGCGCTGAGAAGTCGACTATAGGTTGTCCTACAAAACAATATGAAAACATTTACACATTATTAACTTAAAAATTTGAACTCCATTACATTTAATATTAAATTAAAAATTTTGTACCGACATCTTTTTTATTAATATTTTAAATTTGATGCATTTGTCTATTATGAATTAAATATTAATTTAAATCCACCGTACCGTAATAGTCAGCTATCTTCTGAAACAAGGCTTTCACATTCACAACATTTTCTTCCTTCAACTCCCCAACAAGAGCCAATATGTTTGTTTCTGAAACAAATAAGTTTCACTCATCTATAGCCACACAGTACAATATTTTCATATAAAATAGTGCAAGTCAGGTTGCATTTCTGTAAACTATGATCATTTCCAAGCATGGCTAGATGTTATTTGTGATACTTCTGCAGGAAGCATGGAAATTCTAGTGAACTGTTTCTGAAAAATTTGCCAACAACTTCTAAAAGAGATTTTTCAAGGATTGAAACCGTTCCTGCTTAGCATAGCCTAATATACAGTAATCCCTGTCCCAGGGCTCAGGCCTCAAACCCAAAATCCATAATATAGTTCTACTTGCTGTTGAATGCATTCTATAATATAAACTCGGTATGAGGTATGAAATAAATATACCATTAATGTTGGTTTGTTGAGGTACATTTGGAGAGACTTTTCCCTCCTCTGCCGTAATGTTTGCTTGCTCAGTGGAAATAGAAACCTCCTCAGCTTCAACACTTGCCTCATTACTCGCTGCTGTAATTGCTACTTCTGCAACAACAGAGACATTTAGGGTAAGTAAAAATTAACTAAATACTTAAAGTGAGGGGGTGTTCACAGTAGGTTAGAGTGAGTGAAAATTAAACTAAATACTGAAAGAGAGGGGATGTTCACAGTAGGTTAGGGTGAGTAAAAATTAAACTAAATACTGAAAGAGAGGGGATGTTCACAGTAGGTTAGGGTGAGTAAAAATTAAACTAAATACTGAAAGAGAGGTGATGTTCACAGTAGGTTAGGGTGAGTGAAAATTAAACTAAATACTGAAAGAGAGGGGATGTTCACAGTAGGTTAGGGTGAGTAAAAATTTAACTAAATACTGAAAGAGAGGGGGTGTTCACAGTAGGTTAGGGTGAGTAAAAATTTAACTAAATACTGAAAGAGAGGGGGTGTTTACAGTAGGTTAGAGTGAGTAAAAATTTAACTAAATACTGAAAGAGAGGGGATGTTCACAGTAGCTTAGATTGAGTGAAAATTAAACTAAATAGTGAAAGAGAGGGGATGTTCACAGTAGGTTAGGGTGAGTAAAAATTAAACTAAATACTGAAAGAGAGGGGATGTTCACAGTAGGTTAGGGTGAGTAAAAATTAAACTAAATACTGAAAGAGAGGTGATGTTCACAGTAGGTTAGGGTGAGTGAAAATTAAACTAAATAGTGAAAGAGAGGGGATGTTCACAGTAGGTTAGGGTGAGTAAAAATTAAACTAAATACTGAAAGAGAGGGGATGTTCACAGTAGGTTAGGGTGAGTAAAAATTAAACTAAATACTGAAAGAGAGGTGATGTTCACAGTAGGTTAGGGTGAGTGAAAATTAAACTAAATACCGGTACTGAAAGAGAGGGGATGTTCACAGTAGATTTGGGTGAGTAAAAATTTAACTAAATACTGAAAGAGAGGGGGTGTTCACAGTAGGTTAGGGTGAGTGAAAGTTTAACTAAATACTGAAAGAGAGGGAGTGTTCACAGTAGGTTAGGGTGAGTGAAAATTAAACTAAATACTGAAAGAGAGGGAGTGTTCACAGTAGGTTAGGGTGAGTAAAAATTTAACTAAATACTGAAAGGGAGGGGGTGTTTACAGTAGGTTAGAGTGAGTAAAAATTTAACTAAATACTGAAAGAGAGGGGATGTTCACAGTAGGTTAGAGTGAGTGAAAGCTTACCTAAATACTGAAAGAGAGGGGGTGTTCACAGTAGGTTAGGGTGAGTGAAAGCTCAACTAAATACTTAAAGTGAGAGGGTGTTCGCAGTAGGGTAGGGTGAGTGAAAATTAAACTAAATAGTGAAAGAGAGGGGATGTTCACAATAGGTTAGGGTGAGTGAAAATTAAACTAAATACTGAAAGAGAGGGGATGTTCACAGTAGGTTAGGGTGAGTGAAAATTAAACTAAATACTGAAAGAGAGGGGATGTTCACAGTAGGTTAGGGTGAGTAAAAATTTAACTAAATACTGAAAGAGAGGGGATGTTCACAGTAGGTTAGGGTGAGTAAAAATTAAACTAAATAGTGAAAGAGAGGGGGTGTTCACAGTAGGTTAGGGTGAGTAAAAATTAAACTAAATACTGAAAGAGAGGGGATGTTCACAGTAGGTTAGGGTGAGTAAAAATTTAACTAAATACTGAAAGAGAGGGGGTGTTCACAGTAGGTTAGGGTGAGTGAAAGTTTAACTAAATACTGAAAGAGAGGGAGTGTTCACAGTAGGTTAGGGTGAGTAAAACTAAATACTAAAAGAGAGGGAGTGTTCACAGTAGGTTAGGGTGAGTAAAAATTTAACTTAATACTGAAAGAGAGGGGGTGTTTACAGTAGGTTAGAGTGAGTAAAAATTTAACTAAATACTGAAAGAGAGGGGATGTTCACAGTAGGTTAGAGCAGTGGTTCCCAACCGCCGGTCCGCGAAGCTTTTTTGCCGGTCCGCGAGAGATTTCATCCTTTTGTTTTTCTGCCGTCTCAATTGATTTACCGATATCGAAAAGATGAAGAGTCCAATATAATATCGATTTTTATGACAATACAATGCCATGACAGCTATCTTGTGCGAAGCGAACAAGTTAAGATCAATAATTAAATTTTTTGTGCCTGCAACTACGAAAAATCATACGTTAAATAGCAGTGCAGCCCGAGGTTTCACCCAGTTGCTTTTATTTGGGCCTCTTGTTGCATACCCCTGGCATAGATAATAAATGGGACTCGGCTATAAAG